CAAGCAACAATTCATATTGGACATTTCTCTAATCGTTGTAATTTCAGATGACGTGAAGGACGACGAGAAAGCAAATATGCTCGAAGATGGCACTGATGAAATATTTATGACTGAAGAATATAATGAGTTGACTTGGAAGAAGAAAATCATCGATCCACGCGTTCCTGAATCAGAACGGAATTTTGGTGGCAAAGTTATCAGTGAGTTCATTAAGAAATATGAATGAAAGAGTTGAATCAATCGCTTTTAACGATTTACAAGTCATATTCTAGGTTCGCTTCCGAAGGAGATCGCCCAACGTGAGCACATTAAATTCTCCACAATGCAACATGTTGACCAACCAATAATTGCTGATCAACACAATACAAATGGCAATAAACAGCATCATTTGCTATCAGCCAATGATGATACATCTCATGATAACAATATCAACAATAATGAGTTTTACTCAAATCTCATGCAAGCTCAGGACAACCCATCAGCAGATGAATACAATTTTAAATCGTCTGAACAACTCGAATTCACTAAAACCGAAGAATTCGACGGCGATTTTCCTGAAGTTGGCACTGTAAGTGTTCTTTTCAAATGCTTCACTCATCAGTTACTTCATTAGTCACCTCGAATCTTAGAAATTTGAAAAGCTTCAGTAGTATGATCCTTTTTTTTGCGGCAAATGAGCATTATTTCAGTGAACGCCTGTTTCAGATGGAAATAATGCGTTTGGACGATTCGGATTCAGACCCGTCAAAATACAGCGAACGTGGTTTTACTCTTATGTTCTATGATAGGCCATCTGAACTTGAGAGTGAGTTCTGTGTTATTGTCAGAATAAAATATTGTTTTTGATAATTTGTATGCAAAGCATGTTTAAAATGCGATTTCAGTTCGGAGGCCATTCCCGAGCTCAGCAACGTGGTCGTTGAGGAGAGAGGACACGTTTACTGTGCTGATGAAGCTGATGGCAATTGTGATAATAAATTTGTATGTGATGATGAAATGTGATGATCAATAAATTTATCACTCGTTCATGTACAAAGAAGAATTAATGGTGATAAATTGTCGAGAATGTATATATGTGTATTATGAATTGTTATGCTTTTGATGAATAAAAGCTTTATCTTCTCGATTGCTTATGCCTTACGATTTATGAAACACACTCAAAGCCAGTACCAATACTGCAACTCATCTCAACGTAACGACACTCTGGTTGTGCTCATCAAAATAGATTAAATGAATCATATCATAAATCACCCAGTAATTTAATCAATTAACGGATTACGGATAAAAGTATCAACATCCTAATTCGAAAATCGAATCTAAATGATTATGGAAATACAGGAGAAGAAGGGATGTCTTCTTGTGGTAAAGAATGAGGAAAACTGCCGTATGTGATCATTTTGAAATGAAATGTTGATAATAACAACATAAAAGCCGTAATCTTTACGCCCGGATCTTGTCAATAGGCATAAAATAGTTTTTGCTATTCGAATCGAGCAGATCCTGATTGTATGATAAAGGAAAACTGCATAAATCCTCCACAGAACACGTCTAGTTCACCAGATTTAGTTGCACTTAGGAAAATATATCCTCGCCATATAAGCAAACACCCTTACTATCTCAATGCCAAATCGCTGTTACAGGATCATTTGTACACACAAATGTACCCAGCTCTATCGAAATCTTATCATTATGGAATTGAGAACATTCTTCAGCATCGGAAACTTATGATTGCTGCCCATTAAAAACGCACAGCTAGCTATGTGTAAATTATAGTCTAGCGAAGTAGAGTGCAAAGCGATTCGTTTATGTTGCGATGTAACTAAAGATTCGGTTAGTCGCGAACCAATTATAGGTGTATGTAAGAATGTTTGTACAAAAGCAGAAAGATACTTTAGGATGTAGCATAATTGGATTAAGATGTATGCATGATGTGTCGTCGTTCCTATTCGCATTTATGCATTATGCATTATTCATCTGCATATATATATCATCTAATGTAATGTATTTCACACTCAACGATGATCAATTCTCCTCATTATTACTCAATAAATATGCTCCAGTTCACCGCTAATTCCATTCATTCATCCAGTTATGTTTCATACTTATAGACACTCAATTTGAATGATCATTATCATGAATATAACGAAAAAGAATATTCTTATCAGATTTCAAGCGACAAACTTCACGTTCATTTGTTACTGTGATCGAATGTGAATTATTTTTGTTAGGTAATATCCTTGTTTAAAGAATTTCAGTCTTGAAACATTCAATCGAATTTTCTGAAAGACTTTATTATGGTCGTTTTGTTGGTGTACATTTTACTTTAATAAGAAACACTTGAAATTAATTCTCATCACTACTCAAGCGTATAGCATCATCGGAAGTGTAACCATCTCCTGAATACTTCTTCGAATTTACTTTAATGTATTCAATTTCAGATATAGAACCGCTATCTCAATGTTTTCATCGAAAATATTATTTATAAAAGCCATTCAAAGAGTATATCGACCGCAATTATCGCTTTACTGAATCGCTTTACTCATTCATGTTCATCGACTCATATATTCTTCATATCCATGCTCATAAGAGGCATTCTAATGAAATTTGATGCAATTATGTGATTCTCGCTTATTTCATTGTAATTATTGCTTAACTGTTTAGAAAACTGTGTTCGTTGGTGATATTAAATAAAAGAGATTTATGAGCTAATTGAATAATAAAGCCGTCTGGATACAATAACGCATTTTCACATCTCTCTTTGCATCCATCATGTTTCAATGCGGTTGCTAGGCATCGCATCGTTTATCATAAGTATAAGTGTAGGATGCATGGATATGGATATAGTTCTACTAGATACATATCTATAGTTTGCTTCATCTCGCCTCGAGAAGCCTTTCGGACACAGCGATTGCTTGACAGCACTTTCACTTTTATGCTCGCAATTGATCATTTTAACGAATAAATTAATGTGTTTAGTGAAGATCATTCTACTTCAGGCATAGATCAAGTGATAGTCATAATCACAACAATAGTAAGGCTTTATAATAACACTAATGATAATGTCCATTGTAATAAATAATAAATTAGAGAGTAAATTCACGTATTTGGTTGAATAATTATCAAATTTGCATTAATGCTTATTGGTGTTTGGGAATGTGTTGATGAGGAGGAGGAAAATTACGTAATTACGTTAATAATATATAAGATAACTCGCAGATACGTAATAACAAAGATAAATATAAAACTAAAACGTTAACAGAACGATTTCATTTGATGATGGTCTATTGCGCAATTAAAACATATTCGAGATATGCACAGGTGGGTTAAGCTGCTCTATAGTCATGCACATTCATTCATCGTGTACAAATATCTTCATTATAAGAGATTTGACATAAACTATAGTGTTGTTATGCTGCAGTTTGAGTTTGAGGATTGGCTTCAGTGATGCAAATGCTTGAGTAAAATTAATAAAATGAATTTGATGTGTAGCATTTGATATGGAGATGTT